ATCCCTAACAACGACATGGAAGGAAAGCAATGGAAACATCTGCAGATGCGAATATCCATTTGCATTATAACTGGTGTTGCATGATGTAGTAAGTTCAGTTTTAAAATTTCATCTTGTTTGCCGGTGTTTTTTTGGGATTTCAGTTTTTTCCACACTTACAGTAAAAAAGAACTTAAATATAACTGCAGCTGCATTTATTAGTTATGTTAAAACAAATGCTTGCAACTGACAGAAACATCACAATCGTATGGAACTACAAATGCAACCCAACACGCTCCAATGAAAAATTGATGTCAGTTGACGGGCTGATTAATAGTGTAATAGTTATGCTAATCCATAAATATTCATGGACAATGTCGAGTCAGCTTTAGGCGTCTATCATATTCTCTTGGTTTCTGAAACTTTCATGTGTTGTAGATGGAGGCAAGCGCTCTTACATTTGGCTGAAGCTCTCAGTCTGCAATCCGGAATGTTTTACTTACCCAAGATTTTGAGCAATTTCCCTGAGTAATTAACTTGAAACTCTGGCTTGCTGTGAATCTGAGAGCCTTAAAACCATAAAATAACAACCCACCAATCGAGTTGCTATCCGTTTCTGTGCGGTCACATAGCACAGAAGCACATTACCATCTCAGAGATAAGAATATTTCAGTGCCTAAGCGCAAGGATGCGTAGCTCCAAATAATCAAAACCACATAAATTGCTCAGATGGAAGAAACAATCACGCCTGTCAACCTACAAACGATAATTTTGTGTCGAAACTATTCAACTTTGTATAGTCATCATCTCAGATCAAAAACATAAAACATTAGCATTGTTGCTTCCTTCTTATGGAAAAAGGTCAAAGCTGCGGGCTACTGGTGCAAAGTTCAAATCATCTCCAGTTGAAAATTCTTTCGATCGCACTCAAAGCGTCACACTCAAGGCAGAGACATGTCAAATAGGCCGACTAATATTACACCTTAGTTTTGAGTGTCAGAAATTGGCATGATAATGTTAGGTGATATAACATGCATCTAGAAACCACAGCCAAACACCCGGCTGTCCAAATGGATATCACTGCAATTAAATTTACACCATGTATACGCCCATGAATGGGAGAGCAAACAAGGCCTTGTGGAAATCGCAGACATGTATCTTTCATATCTCCTCTTCGTCAAAGGGATCCCTCTCAGGATAGTCCCCAACCTGGAGAAAAAATTTGTCATTTAACAATTGCGTTTCATTTCTAAAAATCATGTAAAAGGAGGAGTAGCTACTTGGCAAACAAGTAGAAGGGAATGGAAAGAATCATGGGAAACTTTACTCCAAAAAATAAATAACGAAAAACAAGACAAAAGTTGGGAATATTTTATGTTGTGAACAATTCTAATACAGGGATTCCTTAAATTAGGTACAGAATCCAGATTTAGCACATATCAAGTATACACATCGAACATGTGGGATTTGAACAGGTAACATCCAATACAAAGCCAATTAAAAAAAGTGCTTGGATACAGAACGGGGCATTTGGAATCATGGTACATAAGTGAATTTAGGTGTATTTAAGTTTTTGGGTTAGGCACGTCATTGCCAAATATTATAAATCGATATAACTTTGCAGGTTTGGAAGTTCGAGCACCCTTAATAGATATTTGACCCCATAAGATAACTTTCCCACCATAAGTCCCCTCTCACCTCTCTCACATCAGCTACAAGGATGAAGATGGAAGGTGAGCTCGTTCGTGACAATGCTATGTTTTTCTGATTTCCTAACAAATGGTGTGAGTAGATGTAATGCCCTAAAACTTATGCATCGTAATGAGCAATTAGCAATTGAGAAAGATAATAGTTATGAGAGGAAAATTGTGCAAATCTTATAAATGTTGGGTATTGATTTAAAATTGAGCGGTGGTGGTGGCATTGAGAGGAAAGTTTACAAGGACAGGTGTATAAACGCTAACAATCCAAACCCAAAGCTTCAACTTCGTTCCCCTTATCTGAGAACTTGCCGGATTGACAATTGATAGAGAGATTAGCCAGAGAAGTGCAGACAAGAGGAAGGAACTTGAGTTAAAATTTGTCCAGGGCAAGGTATATGCTTGTTTAGACTCTGTTGCTCTGTTAATTTACCAATAGGCCTGAACATAGAGTTTGAACTATAAATAGGCAAGGATAATTACATATAGACCCCTAAAATTTTCTCTATTTGCAAATAGGTCCAAGCTGAAGAATAAAATATAACTTTTGGGCGTTGATATTCTCTGTAGGCCCCTATCTTTATATAATTTAATAAGAGCTTCAAAAGTCAATAAAGAAGAGCTATAGAAATTATAATAAAGTGCTAAAATTAGCAAAAAGTTTATGAGTACCCTATTTCTAGATTATGCGGTGATTAACCTATAATATATGCTTATCTTGAATTAATATTAGTCTTATATCTTTATATTATAGGATCTGGTTGATATTAATAGGAGTAATATTTTGAAGAAGTAGTATCCACTAGAGATGAATTCATTTCTCACTAGTATTTTTATAATAAAAATTGCATGACCCATAATATGATTTATTTTGTGCTCGAAAAATAAATAGTCTATTATTTTTCATGTATAGATCTATTTTTGTTGTGGCCTAACCCATAATATGATTTTGATTTTGTAGAAGATATTAAAAGTAAATTTGATTTCACATAAAATGTGAGAAGTGGTTTTGGTTTCATGCGATCTCAATTAATTATGAATAATGCGTTATTTGAAAGCTTTTGAAGAAAAGAAGTAATTTGAATGCGTTTCAATAGTTTTTAATGTGGATTCAAAGATTTTTCGTAACTTAGTATCTGATAAAAATAGAGAAAAATAAAATCCATAAACTGTTTTAACTGAGATGATGAGATTTATGTTCGTCCGCTTGGTTTAAAGTATTTATAATGTTGATAAGTGAACATACCAATATTATTTTGGCACAAGTGACGCGTTTTTGAAATCAAGTAATTTGACGAGTGTTGTGTTTTTAGAAAAAAGCAATTTGATAAGTGATGTGTTTTGAATCAAGTAATTTGACAAATGATGTGTTTCCAAAATTAAGTAATTTGACAAGCGATTCTAGATGTTTTCAAAAATCTCAGAAAATCCACTGTGGAGTGATCTGCCATATGATTTAAATGCACCTTTATGTGGCTTTTTTTAGGCGTTTGTGATGTGGTCCTTTTTGGGCGTTTGTGATGTTGTCGGTGGCCTATAGTAGTGTTAGGTGCATTCTATCCTCGAAAACTAATGTAATGCCTTTGGTATTTTCATGCTACTGGGCTATAATTTGTAGCATTAATGTGATCTATAACGACACATCGAGGTTTGAGATTCTGACATTTGATTGTAAATTTGAGAAAATAACAATCTTTTGGTTTTGCACAAATTTAGTAGTATGTTTTTCTTAGCATTTACCTTGATTTTAAAAGAGTCTGATTCCGGAATATATTACAATATATTTAGTTTGCACATAAAAAAATCTAAAATGTTAGTATTCTTTCTTAAAGATAAACAATAGTACGTTGTTCTTGGACCCAAGGTTTTAAATGTCGCCCGACATGTCCGACATGTCGGCCGACATATCGGTTTGAGGGCTTGACCGACACGACATGGACGTTTTCAACTCGTATGTCGGTTTTCAGGGCTAAATCGAAAATATCTGGGTCATATCGGGCATATCGGCCTATTTTTTAGCTTTGAAAAAATTGACCGATATGATACTTTTTTTAAGATCTGTTTTTTGTTATCAAGTTTGGGTTTAGTGATAAATACTCAAACTTATTTGATCCGTTCTCATGTTTAAGGGTTTCTTATGAATTTATGAACCTAAATCCATATATTATTTATTTATTTATATGTTTAGTCTATAGAATTTATAAAGTATGCTTATTTTGAATTTATGAATGCTTAGATTACATTTAGGACATGATATTATACATATGTGCACTACCCGATATGACAATCCGATATTTAGTCAATGTCCCCTAATATATCCCCGATTTTCGCTATCCGACATGGATTTCAGCCATCCGACATGAACCCGATATCCGACATTTAAAACCTTGCTTGGACCACATTTGGCTTTTTTTTGGAATTTTTAGTGCAAAACTTATAATTCACTATTTCTAGAAATTATTATTATTTCATTATATATCTAGGAACTCTAGTGAAAAATGTTATCACTGATCTATAGCTCACCTCATCGTTTTTTAATTTTCAGATATAGCATAGCTACGTAATAAACAGAACTTTTGGTTGTGGTGCATTGCTAAGAGACATTTGTATAGAAAAACATCTCCTTTGGTGTTTTGTCTAGCTAACAATGTGCTTTATTTTGTAAAATGCTTATAACGATATAAGTTTAAGTTGTACTACTAATTGTATATACAGTGTTCTCTGAACTTCTATCATCAGCAGGTTACATATATATTTTGATTAAGTTATGTAATATGAAGTGTCACGCTTAACTTGTGAGTGGGCCTTGTCCTGTGCATGAGTCGATGCTACTGCGTAACCCGTATTTATAAGTTCTCGCTGCAGTTTCAAGGCGTGACATAGAGAATTAACTGGATGGGTGTGGTCACTTTTGCTGGTAGTTAGTGTTAAGTCTAACTTTGAAAGGGTGGCTAAATTAAGTTGAAAATTATGTTACATCATGTTTTATGTAGTAAAACCGCTCCCTTCTAATCCTAGCTTGAAGTCGCATGCTTCAATTACAACTTTTTCATTACACATAGGGAAGCAATTGATTAGGACAATATATTGCTAATCACATTTATTCTATGATTTCCCTTTGTTTTTTCACCCTCTATGATTTCTATCTGAACTGCAAAAATTGCTAGATGTAGTGGCTAGCTAATGTAATTGTTTGGTAAGCTTCTGAGGAAGTTCAAAGTGTCAAGGTTTTAAATATTAGACATTGGGGATACATCGGACGACCAAAATTCACATCGGATTGTGGATATCAAGGATTTATAGTAAATATTGGAGTGTCATATCGGAATCAGATGATGTGCATGTATAATATAATGTGGTGATGTAGTGGCTAGCTAATGTAATTGTTTGGTAAGCTTCTGAGGAAGTTCAAAGTGTCAAGGTTTTAAATATTAGACATTGGGGATACATCGGACGACCAAAATTCACATCGGATTGTGGATATCAAGGATTTATAGTAAATATTGGAGTGTCATATCGGAATCAGATGATGTGCATGTATAATATAATGTGGT